TAAGCACCCTCATGCTGCTACTTAGAGGTGGCAGCTAGGATTTTGAGAAATTTGGACAAATGTCCGCCTTGAATCAGCTACCATTCTGGCGGGGGGAGGATGGTCCTTTCTATTGAATTTTCTATGATGGACTTCGGGACAATCTTGGACCTGTGTTACCATGGCAGCCCCCTGGGATGCAGCTCTTACTGGGCTCTCAGCATTTCTCAGCCCTTCGCAGGAAGGAGACATCAGTACATGCAAATGAAATTGCCATGTCTCTAAATCGATTAGCTTTGGGGATAAAGCTAAATGAAACAATCATTGATGAGATTTCCAATTATTCCTTCCTAATTTGGGCTAAAAGTCCAAAAGGAGTAATATCAGATTAATTTTCTCTTTTGAATTCAATATCCCTGTGGGCCTTTCCATTTGCATGCATGAGTAAGGCCTTAGTAAGATATATAGGATGTGGGGAGCTTTTCTTCCAAAGACTGATGATTCCATATCCCTAAGGAGTAAACTGTATTATAGACTGCTAACTTAAAGGAAGTTTATTCACTGATCAGCTAATCAGAAATCATTCAAGCAAGAATACTCACAAAAATTATGGGTTTTATTCCTTATTTTTTAATGAAAATTGCATCGTTTTCCATTTTGCGTAGAATCGGAAGCCGCAAGGAAGGGCAAATTGAAAGTCATAGCTAATGGACACTGTATAACTGTTTAATGCTTTGTTTGTATATTCATCTGGCAGTCTTAGAGGATCATTTCAGCTCTATAAATTCTGCATTTGTTATATTTGATCATGCTGCATTGCCAACTCTATGTGTTCCTGATCCAAATGATATCTGGGTAGTGACTATAACATATATGCCCCTGGGTTACCTCCATTTAAGATTATTTTGAAAGGCTGGACCATCAAATCAGAATGATCCTCCAGCTACTTACATTGTTACAGGCTTTAGGAAGAGTTAGCATATCTCCCATGGGACTCACACAAGAGTAGAATGCGACCATTAGTGATGTGGCTCCTTCCTCTGGCCTTGTTACCCATTATTCCCAGGCAACAGAAAAGGCACGTGAAACCCATTGTACATCAGAGCTACAAGGCCAGTAAATAAACACCCTTTAATGCTTTGAGTCCAATAGAGTCAGGGTATATTGCCACTGCTAATAAACTGTATAAACGATATAAAGAAAATAGCATTCCACGTTTTCCAAAGGACCCAGTGAGTGCATTCTTTTTTTAAAGAGCATTTCCCATTTTTACTTGCTGAAGTCAACTATTTCTGCATGACTAAGTTTTATTTTCAAGTAATAATGACCTTAGTAGAATATTGGAAATTGAGGCTAAGTAAAAGTTGAAGCATACATATTGAATAATATTCTCGTTTGTAGTGGAAGAACAAGACACTGGAGGGAACAGAAGTCTGTGAAACTAGAGTGCCAGAGCAGTTTGAAGTTCTCTTCCAGCATTCTTTGGACCGAACCTTTAGCAGCTGTCCAGATCACGTTAATTGCCTTTTTATGTATACATTTCTATACACCAACTCATCATTTTGGCTTAAAATGTAGACATTATAACAAAGTTGGAAATATTTTAAATGGCCCTCCCTTTCAGTGATTGTCTTATGGAGCTCATAATTTTTTAACACAAGCTATTATTTTGTCTTTAACATATTTTTCTAGAGTAGTATTCATGTTTGTAGAACAAGCCAAATAAAGACCATCACAACAGCCTTTAAAATACCCTGGTAATATAATAACATTAAAAGCATTTTAAATCCCCCACTCTATAGATAAGAGTAATTTTGAACCAAAGATCTAGAATACTTGGCTTATGCTAGCAGGATACCCACGGTACCCTGGCTTCTAAATCAAGACAGCAGACCTCTCCCTGGACCCATTTCCCCTGTCACAGCCCCCATATTTTAGTTCATGATCCATATAGGAATTTTAGCTTTGTGAGTGCATAGGTTCATCACTAGACTCAAAATTTGGAGCAAAAGGGATCTTATAACTAGGCATGGTGGTAAGTGTCTGTAACCCAGACATTTGGGGAACTGGGATCACAAGTTCAAAGCCAGCCTCATCTTCAAAGTGAGTTTCATATCAGTCGAGGCTAGGCCCTGTCTTTTAAAAATGTTAAGAGAAACAATGTTAAAAAGTTTTTTGTTCATCCCTCTCTGAGTGACCAAAATTTGGATTTGGCTTAGTATATGGTGTGCCAGAGTGGAGGCAAGTATCTCCGCAGGTCACATAGGTCACTGTCACATGATATGCTCTCCACCCTCTCCCCGGGCCAATCTGCTGGTCTTTGCAGATTTCTCAGTGAGATCTGGGTGGAGCTGGGCCCCCTCTGACTTCTTCAACTACTTTCTAGTTGTATACTTAAGAACCAGCACAGCTATTCATCTTGTATGTAATTATTACTGAAATACATTAATTCTGTGTGCTGAAAGATAATCACATCAATTCTTTCATATCCATACTTATCCTAAACCCAGCTGCCTTTCTCTTAGCATGATGTGTGGTTTTCATGTTCTTCCTCCTTATGTAATTCAACAGAGACAGAAAGGAATGTCATTTACCTTATCCTGTGAACACCAGAAAAAGGATCAGTATGTCGCCAGTTTTCTCTTGACTCGTCCCATAAATTGCTAGGAATAAATGTATGGATACTAAATGAACTTGAGTTTTATTTAAGTGCACTTAGATGGTTTAATTGGCCCCTCTGAGTCTGAACGTGTTCTAATCTCCTGAGCTGAAAAGAACCAGTTCCTTAGATTCCGGGAAGTAGGCTGGATCCTGCATCCTGTTTACTTCCTTCTCCAGGGTGAAGCTGTCAGTCTGTCTTCTCCTGATATGGCCTTAGGATGCAAATTAGTTTTTAATGTTTCTCCACAACGGGGGAGGATTTTGTAGTTTTGCTTAATAGCTTCGACTTAGTCTAGTGATGAAGTGTTTAGAATAAACATGTTGGTATGCCGTGACAAGAAATGACCAATGGCTACACACACTGGCTCTCTGGCTATGAGTTAACCAAATTTGAAGGTAGTTTTTCCTTGGGTAACTCAGCATTCCTTTTATTAAACTAACTATAAAATAAGACTAAGTCATAGTCCAAGAACTGAAAACTTAGGACATGGTCTAAAATAAATGAATGGGGAAATTTTCCCTTTTCTCTGTTTCCTTTGATTCGGTATATCAACCATACTCGTGAGCTTTAAAACAAAACCTGAATTTGGCTCCGAAGGGAAAGAGAGTAAGAGGGAGGCAGGCCCAGAGTTTCCCCACACCCAGGTTCCCCGTCCTTTAGTTTTCTCATTCTTCGGCAGCCTGGCATTAGAGGCGGTGATAGGGCTGTAAGGTTTACCCATATAAAGGGGTGTAGCTTGGAATGCTAGGGGGCACCAAGAAGAGCACTTGAAAAGAGTCTGTCTTAAAAGGAGGAAAGTCAGACTTCCAGCAGACCTCTGGTCCCAGGCTCAGGTGTGACAGCCATGGTGCCTGCCACCTCTCTCCCCCATAAGCAATGTCAGATGCTGCCCCGGTTCCTCCTGCTGTGGGGACATGCCCAGCTTCACCTTCTCATTGCTCTTTCCTCCCTATGTCTTATTCTTTAAGACTCAACTCTGGGCTTTCCTCCAAGAGGAAGCATCCTGTGATGCCTATGATGCCACAAAGGAGATCCTTGTGCAAGATACTCCGGGATTTCTTCTTGCGTTGGCATTTACATACCATACTAGAATTTATTCCTGCTCAAACATTTGCCTCCAAATTTTGCTCTGTAGAGTCTTTGAGGAAAGTGAATTGTTGTCACAGCATGCTTGTAACCCCATGCCATTCAGTCGCTATTGCATATCAAATAATGTGCAATAAATATGTCTTCAAGATGTGCATTTGCAGACATGGGAATGTGAATTATCAGTCAGGAGTCTATTGGACTTTATTCCTTATTTGAATTATCATATATGTTTTTAAGTTTTATAGTTTGTCCTCCAAAAACAAACTATACTCAAGAGTCTGATCATATCTCACGGTTCATGTGTGGGTCTGGGATGGTGACTCGGTGGGTAAGGCCACTCACTGCACCAGCATGAAGACTTGAGTTCAAATCCCAACCGTCCACGGAAAAAGATGGCTGTGGCTCCATAATCCCATGACCCCAGTGCTGTGGGGAAGTAGAGGATCTCTGAGCATCCTGACCTCCAGCCTAGCTCCAGCTTCAGTGGAAGATCCTGTCTCAAAGGCCATAGGCAGTGAGAGTGATGGGAAGCAGCACCTGATATCGTCCCCTGGATACGTGTTTTGCATTTAGGGGTACATGTACAAGTGGCACACACAGAAACCATACCCAACAGGCGTTTGTTTTTTCTTTTTTTTATAAATCTCTTTTTAAAAAGTATTTCCTGAGATAAACCACCCAACAATACATCTGCAGCTCCTGCCTTTGAGGTTTATATAACATAATTTATATTCTTAAGCATAGATTAAGTAAGACAGGCAATGAGTCAGTACCTTAAAAAATAAGATATAGTGTGAAGATACGTGTAAGGAAGTCTAGGAATTGGAGGGAGGATTTGGAAAAGGACGGAAGTGCTTAAGTAAAGAATCTTTGAAATGTTTCTCCTATCCAAATAGATTTTTGAGTATAATATAAATATCTAAAACTCCATGAAATCCCCATTGAAATGTTTAAGAGTTGTAATGTGGTAACAGAGCAGGGCAGAGGTTTTGGGGCCTGATTACATGGAGGAGTATGTGTACATCACTACATAACAACTGGACCTTCCAAAATACGTCACATGGAACACATAGTGACTCCCTGACTTAAGTCAACACAAGGTTCAGGTTGAAAATAAAAGTTAAAGCTGAAAACCAGTTTCCTGAAAAAACAATGGGTAATACATCTAGAGTCGATCCCCTTGGAGATGCTATTGAAGAGATATGAGCTTTCCACTTCTGCTGAATGGAATTCACCTGACCTGTGTCTTCCTGCGTCTTCTTTTCCTTAGTGGAATTGGTCGGAACTGGCCCTGGGCCTCTGGAGGCAGCAGTATTCTGGCAGAATTTGGAACTTTGCATCTGGAGTTCATGCACTTGAGCCACTTATCAGGAAACCCCATCTTTGCCGAAAAGGTGAGTCTTGAAAACACTTGTGGAAAGTAACTAGGTGTGTGTAGCTGTAGGAAACTTTGTAACATGCCTTATTTCACTTGATCAGACTGTCAACCTAAGTCTTTCCATGATACTGTGTAATTCATGGTGAGCGGCTCTGCCTTCCCCCATGAGGCTAGCTGTACATTAAGTTACTTACCTGTTTGGATTTTTTTTTCCATCTAAAAATATGTAATACTGTATACATTGCATGAAGCAAATATGTGAAAGGTTAAAGTGTTATGTAAATATGACATGGCAGTGAACTAGATCTGTTTGCAAGAAGCCAGTCCATCCATACTACATTATCTCCCCGCTTGGCTTTCAGCTTTTACCTCTTTCAATCGAAATTCCTTGAAAGAATTGTCTTTCACTTTGTAGAAATTTTCCTCAAGCACATCAGTCTTCCCAGACCACCTGACCATCAAAGCACAGCCTTGCCACCTCCCATCAGCCCCTGTCCTGTTAGTGTCTGCCTCGGTGACCTCACACGTCCATAGCCAAAATCTCTGTAGAGGATGACTTTTAACAGAACCTAAGTTCTCACATTGTGGCCACCGGCAGGCCTACAGTTAGGGTTTGGATCAGGAAGATTTCATTCCTAGGTCTCTTGGCTTAGAAGTGCTCCCATAACCTCTTGTGTGTGCCTCTGCACAAGGGGCAGGAGGCAAGGGGCAAGAAAGAGGACTCTGCCCTCCTGAGTATCCCTCAGAGCCCCAACTCCCAATGTGCTTGCACTGAGGGGTGGAGCTCAGTGAAGGAATTTGCATAATTCCTTCTTTTTTTCATAGCATTTTCTTCTCTTGCCCTACTATTTATATTTGTTTATTTTCCTTATCATCCTAGTCAAATGCACAATTCCAAACCAAGTTAATAGTTTTACACATTGATATAGCCTTAATATGTAGATTGAGGTCTGAATTTGTGATCTGGGGTTCTAGATACGTATGACTACATGCATTTACCATTTTTAATAAGGTGATCACAACTCTCCTAATTCTGAAACATTTTATCAATTTTTTTTTCTATCCTGGCCAAAAAAAAAAAAAAAAGGAAGCTAGAAAAAAGAAAAAATGGCATGTGAACTTTTTCTTAGATTTTCACGTTAACGTTCCTTTTCTTTTATAGGTAATGAATATTCGGACAGTGCTGAACAAACTGGAAAAACCAGAAGGCCTTTATCCTAACTATCTGAACCCCAGCAGTGGACAGTGGGGTCAACGTAAGTCCAAAGCTAAGCAGCCCTTCTCGCTTCTTGGTTCCCAGCACCATGCGAGCACTGAGGACAAGCGCAGTTCTTGTTAGGGGATGTTGAGAAGGGAAATGAGTCCTAAGCAGCCTTAGACAGAATGCTGCCGGGAAACCAGACAGCTTGCTGTCACAGATAGCCATAAGTCTGATGGCATTATTATAAGCGTATTTGAAACCACTAGTCAGAAAAGGAAGAGCCATTGTGTGTGTGTTGGGGTGTGGGGGCGGGGAGGCTTCCTCTTGTAGCAGGCTGGCCCTGTGGTTAGAAGGAAAGCAGGGTCCTCTGTGCTGAAGGCAATGATGCTGCTGCCCATAGTAATAACTTAGACCACTCTGCTTCTGGCAATTTCTACTGTGAGTTGGGAAATGAGAAGCACAGACTGAGATTTTTCTCTTCGTGATGTTAAGCTACCAGATAAAGATTTCTTGTGAGTGACTTACCTTTAGCATAGAAATAAGTGTCAGCTGAGATCTTCTGATGCCAGAAGCCCTCACTTCAGATGATTTTCAGCAGAGGTAGAAGAGCTTGGAATTTGGAAAAAGAAATGTTCTCAAGCTAATTTGGAAAGAATGTGAAAGGTTAAGTAGCAATTGAAAGCAAGTGAGATATCTAGCTATGTTGAAGGTATTAACACTGCCTCAAATTTCTACTCTAATTTTGGCTTTTTCTTTATATTAAATAACAGATTCTTAGATAATTAGGCCTCACTATTCTTTCAGAAGTACTTCTTTTAAAGAACAACTTAATAAGAAGGGGGGGGGGCATGCTAAATCCCATGTCTCCTGGTGGTAATAGCTAGGAAGAGCCTGGATCTAGTCACCTTGGAGCTACTATAATGAAGCCCTCCACTTGGTCTACAAGTTTATGACGGCTGGGGCATTTTGCCTTTTTCCTGTGCATGTTTGCACTTAACATTGAGTGAGCCATGGTGGCTACAGCTCAGTAAGAGAATCAAGACAGACACCCAAAAGTACTAATGCTCACTGTAATTTCTACCACAGTGAAAATATACCAGTTTCACTGATACATGTTTAATGAAGCAGAGGAATCACTTTTGATTTTAGTAAACAACAACACGTGAGTCTATGGCAGTGTAATCACATGGGTGACTTCTTGTTATGACAAAATGCTTGACCAAAGCAGCTCAATGCAGGGAGGGTATGTTTGGACTCCCAGTTCACGAGTATAGTCTATCATGGTGGCAAGAGGCTATGACAGCTTTCGAAGTTGAGAGACGCTCTGCTTTCTTTGTTCTCTTTATTCAGTATGGAACCCCAGCCCGCAGGATGGCACCCTTCACACTTAGTTTTTCCCCACTTCAATGAACCCCGTCTAGAAAATCCCTCACAGGCATGCTGAGACCTTTGTTTCCCAAGTCATTCTAGATCTTGCTGAGTTCCCCATCGATAGTAGCCATCCCAGTAATGTTCTGTGTGAGGAAGTGAAAGTACACAGAAGTGTTTCTGATATATGGTGGAAAATAACAGTTGGGGGGGGGGGAATCTTGGGTTTCAAGATAACATTATCACAGATATTGTTGCTTGCTATGAGATGGTTGCGATTATTCTTTCATGGGTCACCATCTTTACATGAAAGTACAACTAAAAACAGCTAGTAATTCAGATCTAAGTAGTGGTTCTTTTTTTTGGAAAGGGGGGGCAAGGTTTCTCTGTGTAGTTTTTGGTGCCTGTCCTGGATCTCGCTCTGTAGACCAGGCTGGCCTCAACTCACAGAGATCCACCTGGCTCTGCCTCCCAAGTGCTGGGATTAAAGGCGTGCACCACCACTGCCCAGCAGTAGTTGGTTCTTAAAGATGAAAAAAAAAATGGTGTTGGTACCAGTGATGGCAAATTTTTAGTTTCTAAATAAAAATTAGAATTTTAGAAAGCTTGTATATATCACGATGAGCTGGACTCCATTAGTTCCCCGATAACATTGGCGGTGACATTAACAAAGGTGTTTTTTTGTTTTTATTGTGTAATGAAATATGTCAACATGGCATATCTGCATAACTCAGGGAAAAAGTCAATATTTTCCAAATAACCAGTTCATGCTCATATGAAATCATGCATAACAAAAAGATCACTAAAAGTACAGGATAGTCGATAGGTTTTAATGTAACCGCATATTAAAGTTTATTGAGGGGCTAGAGAGATGGAGTCATGGTTAAAAGAACTTGCTCCTGTTGCAGAGGACCCAGGTGCAGAGGACCCACCTGATGACTCACACTGCCGATAACTCCCATTCCAAGAGGCCTAACATTCTCTTCTGGCTAATGAGGACACTGGGCATGCACGTGATATGTACACATACCTGTAGGCACTCCCACAAACGCATAAAACATTTAATTTTTTTTTAAGTTCCTTGGTGTGATTTGCAATCCTACATTGTAGCTAGTCTTTAAAAAAAACACGTTAACCTTTTAAACACCACATAAGTTTTGTTGCTATGTCAAAAAAATATATTAAAATAACTGCATGTGTATGGGAGGCTATACGCCTGTGCATGCATCCAGCTCTCTCTGTGTGTGTGTGTGTGTGTGTGTGTGTGTGTGTGTGTGAGAGAGAGAGAGAGAGAGA